GCTCCAAACCATTCCATAAAATCACCCCACAGATTGTTATACTCATACTGTACTTCTCAGATTTGTTCTGACCTTGAGTTGTTTAAAATGTAGATTTCCTCTCAAATTATAAATGAAAGTAAACATAACTTGCAGTAACTCTAAATTAATGATAAGGTTGCTCCACAACTGGAGGCGTAACTGTTTGCCAACTAAGTTGACTTTATCAACTTACAAGGTAATAATAATTCAATGTTGCATTCGCACGTTTTCTCACTGCCCCCAAGTGGCCAAACAATCAGTTATCGCAGATTTAGGAATTAAAACACAAATATTACAAGAAAGGTTCCTGATTTACAGTTTACTGTAGCTGCTATACTGTTATTGTATTTTAAAACTAACACTTTAACTTATGTTATCTTTTGTAACTAAAATGGAAAATGAAGACAGAGTGGTCATGCTTGATTTATGTACACTGATAATATAGGGATGTTCTTTTTGCTCATGCAATGCTCAAGTTCTTTATGTCTATTCCAAATGTACAGCACTGTGGGCCATATAAGAGCACTTCTTGTATAGTTAATGTGTTTCCTGGCCCACTCTTTTTATGATTTTATTAACCCTCTCTGATACTTAGACCATAAGATGTTTCTTTATGAGAGCAAAGCCACATCAACGGATGATGCTGATGCATACAGTATGGTGAAAAGGCTGAAGAGTGGCTCAGTGAACAGGTCTTCATTGTTAGTAATACTAAGGGTTTGTCTTTCCAAGAATTGATTGAAAGCACATTAATGTGAAAGTTCCAATGACCACTTTCGAGCTTGTTGGTAAGTGGGTCAAAGATAGCAAAAGGGAGTGTATAGAAAACAGGAAATGCTGTGTATTGGGTTGCAGCTGTGGCCTTTGTACTCCCGTGACGTCATGGAGTTTCTCTGATCTGGGTAACATTGGAAATTCTTCTCTTGCGCTTAGAAAATTGTTTTACACATGATCAGTGGGTTCATTGTGTAAAGGCTATGTTATAGGGTGCACCCCATACATCTCAATGCGTATCTAGGTACAGTATAACCCTTTTTTTAGATCCTTGGTCCAATACTTTGGTACAACATGGATAAACATGATTATTTGATTGCATTTTTTGGATGCATTGTCATACAATTTGGGATGGACATTTATCCTCCCAGAGTCTTGTTGTCCTTGAAAAGATAATGATGTTCAATTGTCATATAGTGTAAGAGTAATCATTGTGTTCGAAGGCTGAATCTTAATGATTTTGATATTCACACAATATGAAATGTAGTTAACTTAATTAAGCTCTTAAAGGCCAATACATACGTTCTTATTGTGCTGGTTCTGGCACGCACTTTCTTAAGTGGGTCATTGTAGCTTATGCATAATTTAAGACATTGCTATCAAGCTGACGTAATTTCGCTTTTGTTGGTACTTGGTGCGCCAATAGAACTGTCTAATATATACAAAAAAAACGTGTCAGTTTTTTATTTCTGTTGTATTGTAATTTAAAACATAATTGCAGTTAAAGGTAGGGTATGTAATTTGAGAAACCGGCTCGAGATCGCTAGAATTTGAAAATACACGACCGGAGAAAATCTGCCACTTCCTTATAGAGCCCCTCCTCCAACACACACGAACGTGCACATGACCAATGAGGGCACGAGATAAGTTTGTGCACAGATGGAAGGCTGACAGGCAGGTAGGCCATCCAGTTATTTTAGCCGGGCCGGCTAAAATGATTGGTCGTGCTTTTTACAGTATTACGGCTTCCACAGATGACATTTTTGTATGGATTTTTTGTCAAAGCACTTAAGATATTCATTGCTATCGGGATGTTAAGAGCATTCCATGGAATATAACAAAAAGTGTATCTCAAGCCGGTTTCTCAAACTTACATACCCTACCTTTAAGTGAGGAACAAGATTCAACAGATATTTCTGTGCTAAGAAATTCCAGACTACACTGATTGTTTTTAACATCTGAGAAGGGAAATGTCTTTCTTACAGATGTGAGAATGTCAGGTTGATTTACAGTAACAACAGTAACAGCAGAACACTGTTTAACTTTGCTGTCTGCAGTCACCCGAGCTTTGGAATTCCTTATTTACATCCCAAAGCACTTGGATCCTCTAATGTGATAATCATAATTTTGCACTATAAATGCAGACTGTGAATACTAATCAATAATTTGATTTGAAGTCTTTGAGTTGAGGGGTTTGTCGGCCTAAATGAATAGTTGTCACTGGCATTGAGGCTTTGAAAAGCACATTACTTTTGGATTTGCAGAAGGTTTAGAGTTGAGGTATGATACCTAATGTGTCTGTTATAGCCATTAGCCTCTGCCTCTGAACTCACTTGAACATTCCAGCTGGAAAGAGCAGCTTGTTTTTCCTGTTTCTGTTTTTGTACTTTGACAGTTACTCCATAACTTCATTCCTAAAGGACTTCTGATCCCTGCCCACTTAACTGCTCTTGAATGACAAGACTATGAGGTGAATACAAGCACAATGTGAGGCTCTGAAATAGTGAGTGTATGATGAAGTGTGACAATTCAATTTCAGCCCACGCTCAAATCTGCCATCAGAGCTGTTTCTTCCATTTCATGCTTCTGCTGTACCTTCTGCAATTGGACCTTGTAGTAAGAGTCTGTGCTCTGGTTGATAAATACAAACCTGTGGGAAGAATGGTGCAAATTTAAAAAAGAAAATGTAAGGAGGTGTCCTTCTACAAAACAAACATTTTTGAGTGTATTGTCCATTCAATGTACATTTGTAGGACATCCAAACATCAGACTTTTTTAAATAGTTTATATTAGATTAGATAGTGCAAGCTTTTTTTAGTCATTTGTTTAATTGTTAAGTACCAAGACTTGCCTTTGTTATGCAGCTTCAAGGTAAGCAAGAGGATTTATTTGTTGCTAAAAAGTAGATATGCAGCAATACCACTCCTGATTCTGATACAACAATTCAGGGCATCTGCTGATACTGACCACAACCAGTGTTTGCTTTTGGCCATATTTAAAATATCTGTGTGCACACTGCATAGCACTTATGGGGAACATTATTATGTGAGGAAATGTTACATAGGGATGCTTTGATTCTTAAAACTGAGAAAGTGACTCAACGTGACTGAAATATGACACTAACAAAGAAACTTAAATGTGTTAAACGAGTTAAATGCTTTGGAGATGACCAACTAGATTTGTTAAAATTAATGGTGGTGTTGAAAATAATTCCCAAGGTTTTATGTGGCGTATTTTAACATTGGATGGCATGATTCAGATATGATTGCACAGTAGTCTTTAGCTCATATTATTAAATCTGAACCTGAGATCCCAATGACAATTAGCCAACTTCGATAAACCACAAACCACCCCCAAGCGTACCCTAGCCCTACAGCACTAATCAGCAAATGAAAAAAATTCCATCCAAAAATAATAATAGTTTTGGCTGAATTTAACTTTTAGTTTTTCCCCTCTGAGCAGTTTCGATGTTTATGGTTGTTGTCATTTTAAATGTATACACAACATAGCAGGATAAATGAACAGAGACACATTTTCTTTCTGTATTTGTTCATTGTTAAGCACTTCTCTGTTCAGAAATAAATCCTGATCAGGTCTCTAAACATGATCTGTGTTGAATGAAGGGGAGAGCATGAGCAGAATATGTGGGATTGCACCCAGTGGCGTAGCCAGGAATTATTGTGTGGGTGGGCCTGGAGAAATGTAGGTGGGCCAGGGGAGACTTATTAAGCGTGGGGTCTGAGCTGAAACTTCATTAATGATTTTAATGATTTTTTAATGCACTAATTGAACATAAGCATAAACTAGCAGTGAAAACAAAAACATAGGCATGGCGGCCTCAGAATGTGTGTAAAACTGACATCCACATGACTAGGGATGGATATCGTTAAGGTTTTAACGGTAGGCCTACTACTACTTTTATCGATACTGCTTATCGATCCGGTCTTTTAACGGTACTTTTATCGGTTCTTTTGGAGAAATAAATAAGGTAAACTAACTAAACAAATTGTGAACAAAACTAACATTGCTTTTTATTTAAATTAAATACATAATATTTCACATAAAAGAAACAACAATGTTTTAACAAATCATATTAAATAATCTGACAGAATTGTAAACAGAATAGCTGAAACTTTAACAAAATAAATAACTCAGTTATTATTATATATATTATATTAGAAACGGAGTTGGCGACACTAAAACTGCAATATAATGTTTGTGTAGCATAATATATATGACATATATTTTTTACATGTCTTCAGTACCTATAAAAAGAGAGCTTAATACGTTACAGTACCACGGTCTTAAATAATTCAGCCCCGGAGCCCGTTTAATACCGGGGCTCTTTACCCATCCCTACACATGACTGGCTCGGCGGCCACAGGTTGTTTATCCTTGACAGTCCCACAGTGGGCACACACTGAGAGTGTTTCATATTCAGCAAATGTGTACACGCTTCACTGCAGACCTCAAGAAGAAATAAGAATTTCATTCACTCACGGCAAAACTTACTTTACTTACTAATTTACTCACGGTAAAAAAATGCACTCCCTATTCCATAGTCATGAAGGTGGAATCTAACTATATCCAGAATAAGTTTGATTGGATCCAGGCTAGAAACATATTTATTTCTGCTGTAAAGTTGGGCATTTTAACATGGGGGTCTCTGGCTCCTTTCTGCATCCATCCCCTGTCGGCCACTAGATGAACTACAGTTTGTGGCACTTCCTTCTGGGCTTCCCAGCTCTGCGCTATGATGCGCTGATTGGCTGTGGGTGGGCCAGACGTGCATGTGGGTGGGCCCGGGCCCACCCACAGCTACGCCACTGATTGCACCTGTTACTGTTCACCATAAAGGGCATGTCTTATGGTGTTAAGAGGCTTACAGACCCCACACAGTGCCTGTGATTCATTCTGTAATGATTTCCTAGAACAAATTATGCATCTAACCTCTGTGTGACCTTTTCGTTCTGTCCTCCACACAGGAGCAGTTTGCCTTCGTGATCGGCTAACGTTTCGTTTCTGTCAGACGCTCCGCTGGCTCGGACGATGCCACCTGCCCAACGTACGAGTGAAGTGCTGCAAATCCTGCAGCCAGCGCTCCCGCTCCAGCAGCACGTCTTCCGCTAAAGCCGCAATAAAGTAACCACTCAACAACTGGAACACTGAGGAAATACAAATCATCACAGCTCTTTCTGTATATATATCTTTTCTAATTAGAGTAGTTATGAATTAGTTCAACAACTCTGCATGTTTGTGCTGGTGCTATAATTATATAGGGCTCAAATGATTTGGAGAAATAAGAAAGCATAGCCTCATCCCCAGCAAAACAATGAGAATGTAGATATTTGTTTGCACTTTTTATACTATACAGTTTGACAAGAATGACATTTCATGAATTAAGACTTAGTAACAGATGTAGTGTGGGCTCTTTTATCAATGTAGCCAGCTTAAAAAAATCATTATTACACATGCAGATAAACTACTCATTAACCTTTATGGTTGGTACAATGCTTTCATTTATTGACAGCAGCAGAAAATTGACAGATTAAAACATACTGGTATACAATTTGCTGTGTGGTTTTTCCTTTAACGGGCCAAAGAAAACCAGGTGCTTCATAAATGCTTCATGTAGCATTCATACATAATTGACTGTTGGCGAAGCCCGCTCCCCCTACTGTAAGTTACTGTTCTAACAGCTTTGCAATGTCAGTGGTCCACCATTTAAATAATTTGTTTACAATGGGTCCCTGTTTTCAGACATAAATGACAGATGTTGCACCTTTTATCTGTAGCTAGCTTACTAAGCTAACTTAGCTTTAAAAGCTGATATCTCAGGCTGACTTTTTTGTGTTTCAATCTCACATGTTTTGAACCATGGACTCAGTAAAGGATCATTTAAATACACACTTGATGGCTACCTAGAGCCTTCAAGTACCAGGTAAACGTTATGCATCCAAAAAACAACATTGTTCTTGTGGCCTACTGCAGTGTAGACCTAGGGCGCCCCATTATGTAAAGGTACTGTATGATAAGAAAAAGCATTAATACCTTTTTTCTTCTTACATTTTAAATGTTTAGCTTGCATAACTTGTTTTCCTAATTCTTACAAAAAAAAACGAATTTCTCTTTTCACTGGCTTGTCTGAACCGGGTTTGAGTTCATGTGCAGCCAGAGCTCCGGTCAAGCACTTATTGATTTGGTGAAGGACTATATTATATACATATGTTGCTTCTGTTTATTCAGTAAACTGAAAAGAAGAGCTTTGTCCATCCCTATTGACAGACCTGCAGTGTAGTTACGGTTGCTAAGCTATGACTGGACAATCATTTCTTCTGGAGAAGGCTTTAGGAAATGGTGGACTTTTTAATGTCGTCAGCAAAATACAGTCAACAGTAAAAAGCCTTTAAAGGTTGTAGCATCAATTACCACATATTTAATGTCACACTTTTGCTTCACATTATTGTTCATTCTTTTAAGTTACAAAGTAAAATGTAAATGGGAGAGGGAAGCTTCAGGAAATACTTGGTGCTAGAGGCCACATAGGCTCAAAAAACGTTCGGGCAGGTATTGGCAGGCCCAGTGCCTCATCTACTTGAATATTGGATAATTGAATGGTAATGTTTTATAAAACCACAAGATTAAAATATTCCGCAAGTTTAGCATTTTAGAAATGAGTTAAAATCGAGGGAATAATAGTGTCCGAATGGGTTTAGTATGGTGAACAAGGGATTAAGCTTTATATATAATATTTGATACTTTTGCAACTGTGGTTTTTAGTTTAAATGTCGTACTGTACTTACACAATTGTTGTTGGCATTGACATATACAATATATAGGCTGTAATTCAGAGTCTTTCCAGAAGGAATTGAAAAGCAGCTCAAACATAACAACGCAGTTCAGCTAAAGCATCCGCTATGGCGTCATCTCCTCCTGTGTTGATTCATGCTGTTAAATGTCTAAATGACATATCTGTGGAAAAGCTGTTTGTTGTATAGAACAACAAATCAATTCTTTAAGAGGAAAAAGAGGGGGGGGGAATCAGTATAGTGTTTTTTTGTTTAAATAAAGCAGGTGGGAATAAGGTGGCTATAGTCCATACCATGAATAGAGCTGTTGACACCGGACGCAGCGTTATAGTAGAAACATTTCTTCTCTGGAAGAATGTACAGGCCATTTGTTCAAAACCTTTTTGTTCCCTAACGTACAATAATAATAATAATAATAATAATAGCTTGCATTTATATAGCGCCTTTCAACGGACCCAAGGTCGCTTTACAGTAATAGAGTACAACTTTACACTCAAGCAACACAGGAACCACAACGTTGGTGAAGTTACATCTCACACAGTTGGAAAAATGTAGTTATGATTCACTTTTATTGTGTATTAAAAGTCGACATATATGGTCTATTCATGTAAAGAGCTTTGTCGGATGTGTTTTGTACTGAATGTTTCCTCATAAGTTTACAGGTATAGGTGCTGGGAACATGACATTTAAGTTGTGTTCTGCTGCTTTGTTTGGTTTGATCTGTATGAATTGCATCTGTTTGAAATTCTCAGGATTCAATTGATGATACGATAAGCCTCTTTAGTTATTGTTGCTAAGCAGGTTAAGCTCTACATTGTAGTGTGGCACATATGAAGCTTACAGGACACCAAACCAATATTCCAATTTCATATTTCAATTTAAGCATACCACTGGTGTTGCTGCACAGTAGACCTTGGTAACAACAATCGTGATAAAATATTTTGGTAGGGAATGTGATGTTAGTCATGAAGTAATGTTTGGTGCTGTAGTCACACATAGAGCTAACTAAGCTACATGATACCATGCTGTCTTTGCACCAGGATCATGCAGAAAAGACGTTAAAGCTATATGATACAAGGCAAAGGGAAAGTATGTTTCACTTTGCGATTTTATACCATGGTCCCCCTAAATGGACTAAAGAATAAGAACAAAACCACTAGCCTTTGACGTGGTAGCATCTTGAACTAGCTAACCCACATTTATCTACAGTTAGTCGGGGACAGCTGATGTACAGTATGCAGCTTACCTTGGAGACTCACTGCTTAATAAAACCTTTTTACAGCAGAAATGTTTGGCTTATTATCGTATTAGGGAAGGCCAACAGAGACATTGTCAATGATATTCTTTTCAACTGTGTTTTCCTGTTATAAATATCTGCAATTAAAAATAAGTATTTCTAGTCCTCACTTTTTTATTGAGGTTTGTGGTGCTTGAACTCGTAGTTTCAACGACGCATCGGTTATTTTATCATTCTGAAAGAAATTAGAAGACTGCTCTTTGGACACACCTGCCATGAGAAATTACTTTTACAATTGCTAAACTAATTGGAGCGTCGGGGAAGGGCGATCAAAGGGTCAATCATATTTGTAATGGTCTGTAGTGGCTTTCACATTCCACATTGAAACACAACTGATGTTTGACTTCAAACCTGTTACTTTTTTCTCAATTTAGTTTGTTGGACTGATTGTTTCTGTACTTTCTGTTTTTAAAGAGTGTTATTTGTAAATGTGTGGATTATGTTGGTTTCAAGGCACAAAATGAAGACAGTGGGTTGTATGCTGTAGCTACTAAAAACATTTTTGTATGTAATCTGTTGAAAAACTCGTTTCTTTACAAAATCCAGCCGTAACCTTCATTTAAATGTTGATTGATTTGCCATACAACAATGACGTGTTTTGGATGAAATGTTATTCATGTATTAATCAGTGATGTGTTATTACATATGTATATTTATACAGTATACTGTGCTTTATACTACGAAATAAAAGTTTTGGTAAAAAATGTAATGAAAAGTTGCTTATGTAAATGCAATGTTCAGATGACAGTTATGCATGCAGCCGTCAGAAATAAATAAAGGTATGGGTTTAAAATACAGATGCATAAAATAAAATACCAATTTTCAGTTCATTCAAACTCCACAGCTTTTATCTCATTAGTTCAGAAAGAGAATGAAGTTTGATATGTTTGGAAAGTTGACAGTGAATGTACTTAATGAAGCGAAAGTCGTAATATATCACTCACAAGCATGCAGGGGTATTTACACAAATCCTCAAACTGGACATTACATTAGTTTTGGTAGAGGGTCAGGTTGGAAAAAAATGTGTACCCAGAATGTAATGCATTTACAATTTGATCCCATCAAAGAATCACAAACGGCATCTCATAGTCTTATGATTCACAAAATGTTTACTGTCGTAGAGGAAAGCTACATACGAAGAAAATACATCCTTCATTGAAGAATGAACTGATAATTATGGAGGAATAAACACAATGAAGAATATTTTCTTCCATTACAGAATTTCCTTTTTCAACATGCTATATTCTTTTACAGTATGCAACATCTTCCAACCATCACGTTCATTGAATGTAAAGTGAATTCCCCGTCGTGGCTGAAGGATCAGTAATCGACCGGTGGCAGCGTCACCATCTGGGTGAACTCTTCGTAGTTGACGGTCCCGTTTGACTTGACGTTTGCCTCTTTGAAGAGTTCATCCACTAGACGAGGAACACAGAAATCAGCTTTGTAAGTGGAATTGAAACGAAAGAGCGATGCCTGAAAATGTATTGTCTCCCACTTCAGAACGCTCAGGGGGAGGGAAGCCTCATACAGACTGACGGACCCTTCAAAGCGTAGAGCTGCCAACATCCCTAACCTGCATGCTGAGACTGTGAGTGTGGTTCCTATTAGCGAAAACTGAAATGTTTCACCTTATCATTGGGGATCAATTCAATCATTTGTTAACATGAAGACATTATTTATTTTGTTACTCACCAGAGAATACCAATATACTGTAAACCTTTTATGAGGAGTGTTAGCATCAACTATGTTGCTATTTTTAAAATGTGGTGTAGTGTACAATTTTGAGTAATAAGTAAAAAAGTACTTTCTTGTATAGAGTAAAACAAGTTACTTTAATATATATACTACTACACTGAAAAAAATATAGTTATGTGAAATCTGTTGACGTAATACATTTAATTGAAGTCAATGTTTCAGTTTTTTCAGTGTACAGCAACTACTTTGCTGTTGGTCATTTTGTGCTTTTTTTTTATTTAAATTTGTAACCTTAAATGCAGGACTTTTACTCATTAGCATTTCTACACTTTTCAAGTGCTACTCAAGTAAAAGTTATGAATACTTCCAACACAGAAGGTTGTTTTACTCAAACAACATCATAAGCATGTATCATACTGAATCATAATACTGAAATAAATCACTGCCCTGTTAGAGATGTGGCATGTAAATTAGTCATTATTTTTCAAACAGACATTTAAAATTCTTTAGCAACAACGATCACAGTGTCTTCAGTATAATCGCTTACAGCTTCAATAGTTTTGGATTCCAACAACTTGATGGATGTCCCCCCCACTAAGAAGCTCTGCACTTCAATTGAATATTAACTGCTTTGTGTGCGCAGTACCCATCCAGAGGAAATACACTGACAGTACTTTAAGTACTTTAATCTTTGTGTTGCTTTGAAGCATGTTACTATGATTGGCAGGTCTCGGCTTTGAACAAATTGCATCAAAATCAATCCCTAACAACTAACTGGATATCAGCCCCCTACTTTCAAAATGAAGGACTATCTCTGCTATCATCACTTTACATAGGAAATCAAACGTCAATGTTCAGATGGAAGTGGAACAACCACTCTGTCCTTAAGTGACAGCGAAAAAGAAAAAAAATGACAGAATCAACGCTAACCATTCTTGAAATATCTTATTATATCACCAGAATAAATCTCTCAAAAATAATAACAGTGACTGCTTTAACTCTAGTAGAAATACAATTTTAGAACTCATGTTTATGTTGGACTAGAGCTTTCCAATACAGCCTGGCGGCATTTAAGTCTGTTTTCAGGAGGATACACCTGGAGATACAACCAGAACATGAATTACTGTAGTAAGGTTGAATGTATATGAAATGGAGTAAATAATCATAGAAAAGCTGCTTTACCCAAACAAGTCATTGGACAGCTGTATATAGTGGATGTAAGGAAGCTGCTTGCAAGTCCCAGGGAGATACTGAGCTTACTGTAAGTGTAAAGCCTGATTCACTGTAGTCAGTGAGTGACACATGAGAGGGCAGTCCTCTTTGTGAATTGTGATATGAGGGCCCCAATAGATGCCATTCTCTTGAATAGAATTACTATTGTATTTTATAATCTCATGAATACAATTATCAATTAGATTTTAATCCCTGGAAGTTTGATAATTACGGCTACCCTTAAGTATTAAGGACAGAGTTAATGTAACTCTTTAACGCATGCAAGGGAGTTTGAATGAAACACTGCATTCAAGTCTAAATGTATGTACGGTTATTAAAGGGTGTTCACATTCATATTGGATTAACAGTGTAAGACTCTAATTTTGTAGAATGTAATACAAATGTACATGGTTCCTCAGTTGTAACACCTTTCGTTTACATGTAACCTCATTAAAAATACAGTAGGTTATACAGCAGAGCAAAATAAACTTTACAAACAGTTACATACTGCTCAGTTACTTTGAACCAGGCATCCCTGAGCTCACTGTGGATTATGGTACTGTATAATAGGATGTATTGATTAAATAGTAGACTTTAACCTTTAAGTTGTTGCTCTGTATCAAGTCAACAGCTTCCTCTTTCTGCTGCTAGATGTTTGTCATACATTCTGCAGATTTCCATCTTGAGTTTACTTTACCTTCTTTGTTGGTGAGTTTCTCCCCCAACATGGTGAGCTTGGCCCGGAGCTCAGAGGCCTGGATGTATCCTTTCTTCTGTTTGTCCGTCATCCTCAAGGCCTCCAGGATTTCTGCCTTGGGGTCTTCCTGTTGCATCTGTCTGTGCATCATCGTCAGAAACGTAGAGAAGTCCAGCTCACCCGTCTTTTCTAAACATGAATTATATCACAAAATTATGAGAAAGTGTGAATGAAATGACAAGTTTGGACAGGAATGATCAGCATTTTGAACACGGACAGTTACATGTGAGGTTGTTTTGTCTGTATTGATTTCCAATTTCTAAGAATACAGGAAGTCTTTTGGACAATAATCTTATAAAGATAAGTATAACCCACTTAAAAGTGTTGTTTTTACAACAAAAGCAGCAGATATTAGTACTGTACATGTCATTTGATTATTGTGCTTTTCCAATTACTTAACTTAACAATCATGATGACTATCATCAAATAAATACCAGTTTTTTAAATCAAGATCAGTTGGATTTCTATTTAAGCAACAAAAAACCATACTAACTATACTCATCATAGACAATCAAACAAAGTCAAAGCGGCTACTTGAATTTGATATTTGTACTTTACCAATTTTGTGAATTTGTAGATGTCTTTCGATTTCACCGAACGTGGGGCTTGTACCCAGGCAGCGCATAACTGTGATCAGGTCTTTGGCAACGATCTTACCCTTTTGCTTCTTGTCATATAAGGAGAAGCACTCCTTGTACTCTGCATGGGGATACAAAATGATGCAACACATCAGTATAGTTCTTTTCATTGTAATATTTAGAAGAAACACTTTATCTATCATTCAGTAGAAGGTTCACTGAAAAACATTCAAACCACAGCACAGGAACATAACAGACTGAAGGTCAGCCTTTGTCCCTCATGCTCTTTAAGTCATTATTTTCAACAACAAAAAACATGTACTAATCACTAATGGATACATGAACAATACTTGGTCAGGAACGACTGGAACATACTTCATTTCCAATAACAACAAAACTAAATGGAAGCTAGAAAAAAAAAGTGCTCTGGATCCGTCTTACCATTGATTTGAACTGGAGTGAAGAATTTAGCCTGCAAGGTGACAATAATAGTTTCACTAGGCAGGTAATTACACAAAAACACTGCCACATACAAAAATCGATTTTTCTAAAAGGCTTAATGAAAAACTTCTTTGTCCTTACCATTTTTGCGACAGCTTTGTTTCCTTCCAGGAAGAAGTTTCCTGTGGTCTGCGTCACCTGTCCCTCCACCTCAGTTTAAAGTCCACCACCTGTAAGCCTACGTAATATAATATGTGTTGCTGTGGAAACGCAGATACCAGATCCACAGTGCTGCATTGTCCTTTCCCTTTCCCCCCCACCTCTCTCATAAAAGGAGAGCCAATTACCAGCCTACTTAGGATACTAGTGTCAGTTATAGTCCGTATTTAGAGATAGTTAATTTAAAGCACCTTTAAAATAATGTCGAACAAGGTGAATTTAAGGTCAAATGTGAATAATAACCAGAAACAGAAGGTACATTTTCCAATTTTAATAAACATAAAAATATGTGTAACAAAACCAGTGAGAAACCACTAGCTAAACAGTATTTTACCAGCAACAGCAAAGGAACCATATTGTACAAAACAGTAATAAAGGGCATTTTACATTAAGAACAATAACTCAACATGTAAACAAAGAAAGGATCAAATCAACAAACACAAAACATCGGTTTAATAAATCTTTCTTTTGTATCTCAAAAGTAACCTCATGTTTCCTTGACCTTTTGAACAATCATAGACCATCTGTACAATATACTTTTCATTGTGAACACTTTTATATTGTACATTGCTTAAACACATCATGTCAGAAATAGGTAATACGGAAATGTAAACGTTCACAGCTCTCATGTCGATGACTGAACATATGAAGCTCATCTATATCTGACAAAGCGTGAGACCTTGAATACCTGAGAGAATGTTTTTATTCAAAACTAAAAAAGTCACAATTAGATTTAACATTAACTTCAATACTGTGTTCTTCCTCTTTTGGTAATAATATTATATTTGATCTTTCTCCAGAACTTAAATGTATCTTTTCATTTTTTATATCTAAACTAGTTTTTTTTCTTACTAATTTCAAGGTGTTATTCTTCAAACGGTACCACTTATCTTTATCCGGTTATTGAGGATTGTTCTGTGTAACATGAATAGATTATTCATATATTTTTTCTTCTTCTCCTTTTCATTCTTAAGGACCAGAGAAGGTGACAATAACCGGGTGTACATGTATTGAACAACCATGAACACTTATTTCAACCTCAAAGCATTCAGTTGTTGATTTATTGAATTATTTGATGAGCTTATGCAAGGTAAGATTTCTTTTTAAATGTTCTAGTAAATGTATCTACATACTGTATATTCACCTTGAGCTGGATCATAAAAGGGTCCACTTTGTCCAACCGCTTGACTGGTCTATAGTTCAGACAACCTTTTCCCTTTAGCAGATTATCCCTGTCCTGGTTTTTACTCCTTCAATAAAATAACAGATACCCCCCCTGTAGGGCTTATTCAAGTAGATAGTTATTAAGAAAAAGCTTTCAGAACCACCTGTTTCAGGGCTTGGAAAAATGTAAATTGGATTAGAAAAATGAGGAATCCTAAACATGTATTTAATCTCTCCTCCCCAAAGAAGTATTAAAGAAGTGTTGGTTATGAGCAGTAAAAAGGCTCAGCCATTCCTCATCACCAGCTGTATGTCAGTGTAGACCTATTTATAAAATCAATCATGGCCACAAAATGGTCTCAAGATGTAAGAGGTGTAACAGATCTGATTACATACATAAATTCACATCAAACTTCCCAACTGCTAAAGTATCAATAAAAAAAGAAAAGAAAAAGAGACAAATGTCTTCTTAATATATGGCTGAAGCCAGCACAACCTTGGGCATAACAGTGAGGTTTGTGCACTTCTACAGCCGTCATCAACCATCCGTCAACGTTGAGTGCAGCCTCTACATTTGTCACAGGAAAGCTGCTGAAGAGAGAGAAAAATATGCGTCATACAAATGTAAATGGTATCTGATTCAGAAATATGTTTTATCTAACAGAGGTGTACACACCTGGACAGATGTAACTCAGTAGACCTTTATATGTAAGGTGTAGTAGGACCAGGGCTCTGGCACGTAAATGAGTCCGGGGTACTTGTTGCGTAGCACCGGGTCGCTCCACAGATAGATCACCCACAGTGCCACCAGCAGCACAGTAACGCTGAAACTACAGAACAGGAAGAGACCGTTGCTGTCTGGGCTGAGGCCTTTACGCTGTTTGATTATCACCACGACAACCATTGCAAGGAAGGTGAGGAGAAAAAGTTCAGTGATTTGTCCCTCAGTGACCAGGTACCTGGAAGAAAATGGAGAAAGAAATGTCATAAAAACAGAGGCTTCTAACTTTTATTTACAACTGAAACCTTGGCAAAAACCCAATAGAGCTGTTTTACTGTGAACATCTGTTTTACAATGATAATGTTTGATCATGTTTTACCCAGGCAGTTACATTTCTTTAAAAAAGAACATTGCTTTTCCAAAAAATAAAGCAAAGACTTTGTGAGAAGAGCAGCATCGATTTGAATTTCTGGCAAAAATGAATATGGAAATAACCAAACCTGTTCTCATTGCTACAAACAAAGCCATATGGTGGAAATTCATTCAGTTCTATATAAAATAGCTGTCAAAATGGGGACTTAAATAGTTTCTTTCAAACTCACTTGCTATGTAAAGGACCTTTTGTAAAGGTTTCTGCAAACCTTCAACTGGCAATCATTGCACAAAAGAACAAAATGGCCAAACGCTTCTGAAAAAAGATACTAAAAAAGCACAAAAAAAAACACAATGCCAAACATTTGCTTGCTTAACTCTTTGTTCAACTTGATTGTCGCTTCTGTTGCTTTACACACCGACCTCCATTAGCCTTCTGAGAGAACATAGTGCCCCTTTTTTCATGGACTGGAAAGGCATCTCTACAATTAGAATTTACTAAAGAGACCAACCGTTTAATTTCTCTTTAAATGTAACGATAACACGAGGTTAATTAATTGACTCCTAATTCTACTCCTAACAAAACCATGTAATCTTGGACAACAGATGGTCTCACAGAGTTGAGGAAGAGGAGACTGACCAATAGTAGAGGGAGCTGGGTCCGAGCAACAGCCAACCAGAGACAGGAATCTTCTTCTGTTCCCTGGCCTTGGTGAAGCAGCCGGTGAAATAGATGAACAGGATGATGAAGAAAGGAATATACCTAGAATTCAATCAGAGGCAGAAACTGTCAAAAGGACTAAACCAGTTAGAGTTGAGTAGGTTTTTATAAAGGGATGATGCAAACCTGGCTGCACAATACCTGAGCCTATAGCATTTTTTTTTAAACTCACTGGTTGATTATCGGAACACTTATTTTTCTCTTTAAAGATAACTTAACTCAGTTTTATGAAAAGTTTTGGTCAGAAAAAGAAAAACTGGCTGATAAAGTTTCTCAAATGAAACTTCTTGAAGAATAATGAATAAATAATGTACCGTGGCAGCAGAAAATTGTCTGGCAGGTTTGAGTTCAAATTATCATCAGGACACCTCAAGCACTGCTTCCCTTAACCCCTTTCAAAATCAGTGTATCAAACGGCATGACCTACAGAAACAGTGCCAATGACAAACTATTCTAACCTGTGATTTTGTCAAACTAAATAAACCAACTAGAGCTGAAATAATTAGTCAATTACCAAACGTTCTCTGGTCCTTTGGGCTGTGATGGGAATTAGTTTTTTCTACTTTATTTTAAAGGGGCCCTATTCTGCTCATTTTCAGGTTCATGTTTGTATTTTGTGATTACTGTGACGAGTTTACATGCTTTAATGTTCAAAAAGTGCTTCATTTTTGTTTTGCCTTTGTTGCAGCACCTCTTTTCCCCCTCTGTCTGAAACGGTTGGTTAGCTGGCCAGCTCTGTTGTGATTGGTCAATCGCTGAGAGATGTCCTGCCCTTAGCCTCACTATGGGAACTTTGTGGAATCACGTACAATGTGTTGGAGCACTAGCCAATGGAAGCGCATGTGTTACATGGTGATATCACTACGTTACAGAAGTGAACTAAAGAGTCTCTCCCACACACTCCCTCCCTTTTGGGCAGAGGGGAGAGAAACTCCCTCTGGAGAGAACTTTGGGGTTTTAGCCATTGCAGAACTATATAATACATAACTATCAATCTTCATTTTTGTAAGGTCTCAACCCCTTACATATGTCACTAAGTTCTGAAGTTGCTGCTCATCATTTTTTAGCCATGCTGTGTACTTACTTACCTACTTATTTATCTTGTATTTGTATTCTAGTACAACTAATGTGTGTGCTTTTCGTCTATGTAGTAATATGTAAGCTTATTCTGTATTATTGCATTGCCTTTTTTACCTGCTATGCCACTTTTGCCGTTACAAAAGTACATTTGTAAACTTCCCCGCAGTGAGAGTAATAAAGGATTTCTGATTTTTGAACTACCATAAAGGGAAAACCCCAACAAGCATAATAGGGCACCTTTAAACAACAACCACCACCTGAGGTCTTAGTAAATGGAAATAGAGAGTTATACCTCTTATTGCTCATAATTTCAAAAATATTTAAAAACTTTTTTCAGGCAAAATGACTGATTCTTCCCCTCTCTTCCCAGCATGCATTAGGGTCAAGTCGAACCTCTGGACTTCACACAGCTGGTGTAAACTGTCTGTCCGGCTCAGTCTGCTCATAGTTAGATCTGATCTGTATTAAGACGTGGAAAACAGCTACTGATTCCAACACACTAATACGTGTATGCAAATCTATATTTCTCTGAATCTACACTTGATGGATTTATGCATCCTCTTATTCTGCTATATTCAAGTCATTTCCCAGCACTGCTTATGGACACAACAATAACAATCCTCATATAGACCTACCACATCAAGTGTCCGAGCTGCTCGTCATAGAAATACAGCAGCTCAAAGGAGTCAATCTGTGAAGGCAAGACAAAAACATATTGAATGTAATAAGAAACTCAGGTATGTTTTAATGGCACAATATATGGTAAAGCCCTCTTTGTTGATAGGGGAGCGCTGTGGTCCTCCACTCAGTCTTATGCAACAGTGCCACCTATTGTTATAGTACAAATGACCCTTTATTAAGTGGAAATCACATCTTCAGACAGGAGAATAATTCAGTATCTTATTTTAAAAGGCATTCATTTATTTTGAAATATGTCAA